TTATTTGTTGATTTTGACTCAACAAATGAATTAGATGAGTGTAAGTTCAATCTATTTCAATGTTTAAAATTGCGTATTCAGGTATTGAGGCGTTTTTCATTCGTGAGGCGAGGCGTAAGCCTCAAGGCGTTTTGAGGCGTAAGCCTCAAAATCAAAAGATTGCGTAAACATAAAATGATAAATTTTTTATATACTAATGAATGAATAATATAAAACATAAAAAAGAATAAGATATGAAGTGAAATCAAAATATTCCAATAATAAGACAACATGAAATATAGTTCAACTCAAAATTTTATCTTTCCCAAGTCCCAGTATTCTTTTCATTAACATATAATTCCAATTTCCAAAAATAAATAGCAATGACATATCACATAAGAACTCATAAGTCATCAGCACTGTCATCACTAAGGGGTTCTTCATTTGAATCATCATTATGATGAACTGCTCTCTCCCCTTCCTCTCCTATAGAGTCCAATGTCGGGCATTTACTTCAAGATTTATGTAAGTTTTAATATATAGCGTAAGGCGTAAGCCTCATGCCAGTGAGGTGAGGCGGGCCCCAAGGAGGGTCTCAACCAAGTTGAGGCGCAAGCCTCATAAAAAAAAACTCGAAGCGTAAGCATCGAGGCGTTTTTTATTGGAATTGCGCAAAGGCGGGCCTCAAGGCGAGCCTCATATTGTGCAATTTTAAACCATGATCTATTTATCACGAGTTAAGTGGATGTGAGGATTTCCTATAACTTTTGAGTTTATAGAAAATTGAAGGCAATATGTAACTTTGGGGTTGCAAATTATGGATGAATCATTGAATTTTTTCTTTAATGAGGTGTGATTATCTATCAAGTTTGAGTTAGCTAAATATAAGGGGCTACTATTGAAGTTCTATGCCTAAAAGGAATGATCACTTGTTGATTTTGTAGCAATAAAAATGATAAACAACTTAGGATTTGGTCCTAAGAATTGCTAGCGCTCTTTTTGGCTCTTTAGAGATCATTTGGGAACCTCTATGTAGGCTTAGAAGAAAGCAAACAAGAAGATTATTTGTTGGTTGTGTTTCAACAAAAAAGTTGAAATGATTTTGAATTGGTTCTAAGATTCAATGATTCATGTAATGGGACATTTGGAGCCCTGGGGAGGCTCTAAAATAACACACATGAGGGCAAAATACATTTGAAAGGGGCTCAAAAATTTAAGTGTTTTGGACTTATTTAACATAAGAAGATCATTTGAATGCCTCCAAATGGATTCTAATTTTCAATTTTGTCATAATCTAAGAGGAACCTAGGAGTATGCATGAAATGTTTTATCAATTTAAGAGATTATCAAATGTTTAAATTACTTGTTATTAACCTCAATCTATCAACTTGCAAATTGCACCAAACATACTTAGATAATTTCAATGTGAGGTGGGGTATAATCTATAAGCCTTTGAAAGTTATATAATGCTCCACTTTTGTTTTACAGGCACTTACAAATTAAATAAACATATTTGTGATTTTGCATATTTTAGACATGTAACAATCTTAGCAAGTGACCTTCAACATACATTCCTTTAGGGTTTGAGTAATGCAATCTAATTCATACTAACTAATTTGATTAAGTGTGCAATCATTTGGATTAGAGTTATTCATCATTTGTCTTGGCTCTCTAAATTTGGAGAAACATCAAAAGTGATTTTAACCAATCTATTCATCATGGGATTTGTAACATAAATTTTGTACGTTCATGAAAAGCCCCATTATTTGCTAGTAAACTTTATAAATTGATTGAAGTACATACTCGAACAGTTAACAAATTTGGAGAGAATCATAGCTATCATAACAATGCAAGCCTCCTATATCTTTTAAGTTAATTTTGTCATAATTTGTGATTTGTTAAAGAAGTGGTGCATGCTACTTAGGGGTGTCAATTTCGGGTCACGGGTAGGGTTCGGGTTGAACCCAAAACTGACCTGGCATTATTCAGGTCAACCTGACACGACCTGAAAGACCCGGTGCCAACAAAAGAATGTTAGTTTTCGGGTTAAAAAATGGGTCAATCTCAACTTTTTGGGTCAAAAATGGGTCCAAAACGGGTCAATCTCGAGTTGCCGGGTCAAAAATGGGTCAGTTTTGGGTCTATCTCGGGTCAACCTGAACCCGACCCGATTTTTGAAACGGGTCAAATTGTTGAACCCGAACTCGACCCGTTTCGGGTTCGGGTTGACCCTAACCATAAATTTTCGGGTCGGGTTCGAGTCAGGTTTTCGGGTCGTGGAAAATATTGACACTCCTAATGCTACATAGTGTGAAACCCTACACGTTGTCATTCAAGTTATGATCAAATGACAACACGTAGCCTAAGGTTTGATCATAGGCGAAGGTTTGGAATACAGTATAAATGAGATTTCATGCATTTATAAGGTGATGGATACCAATCCATCGACCTTACATGCTTTGGTATCTTCCTCGGGCTCTCACATGAGAGCAAACAAGTGAAAATGATCAGATTTTCATTGTTTTGCGAAGAGAACGGCAGGGATGATGATAAAAGGAGATGAAGAAGAGTGTCTGATGGGCTCCTACATTCTCCTCGAGGAATGGAGATGGCACCAATAGCAACAACCTCAAATAAAAGCTCCTTAAGTCACAGAATAGTGGCTTCTAGGCGCATGAGTGAGCTCTTAAGGACACCTTACTCCCAGTCCTTCTTAATCGAAGCCAGCTGCTGGGTTTTGCTTCTTTGGTTGTTCGGTTCCCACTAGATTTTGCACAAATTAGCTCGTGCTCTCTATCTAGAGGAATTGGTTGCAAGAAAGAGGATTGGACACCGATCCTCCCTTGGTCTCCCAAGTTGCACGCAGATGAACGCTCCGGTTCGACCTTCATCACCCAACATGCACACACATGCCCGGCTCGTCATTCCGTCCCAGTCACATGAACAGAAAACCCACATGCAAGGCTTGTTCTCTGCTCAAGCACGCACATTGGAAGCCCAGGCATGCACAACTCCTCTCGATCTCTCCCAGACCCACATGCAAGGCTTGTTCTCTGCTCAATCACGCAAGAAGAAGCACGAAGACTGAATACCGAAGATGCTCAATTTTCATTCACCACCAATAAATAATAATTTAGTTACACATCATGGTTCCCTATTTATAAAAATAATCCAATTTTATGCAAAAAAAGTTAATAATGAACCAAATGTTTGATGTTAGCATCATGCATTTCACTAGTACCTTAATAAGTAATAATCAATTTATCCCATTTTTCTTTTGTGTTGTCTAGTGTCAATATTTTAATATAGTCGCCCAACTTAAGTGGGATAGGAGAGATCAATCAGCTCCCTAGAGTTTTGTTTTTCTAGATTTAACTTGACTTATTCATCAAATGATTTGTCAGTTTTAACTCATATACAATGTAATTGGGACGTTTATAATGATATGAAAGTATGTTTAATAAATGAGGATGATCTTTTGCGTGGCCTAACGATGCCCCATTCAATAGTTTATGGTTACACAAACTTAATGGATACCCGCTAACCACTTTGCAATGCCTTGCAATCCACTCGGGAGTGATGCATGTGGTTAATCATCTAAGTTCGTAATGGTGATCTGTAATAAGGCTGCAAAAATCCATTAACTAGTCAAAATTTATTAATTTATTTTCAATTATTAAGTCTATTTTGTAAATTTAATGTCAGTAAATAATGAACTTCTAGTTGGTTTTATTTACTTATATAAATACGTGTATGATCAAAGTTGTTTGTCTACATTCAAAATAATAGGTTAATAATTATAATAAAAGATTCTTTAATTTAATTTCTGCAAGCTTTTCATAAGTCATGAAGATTGATTTGCAAGTACAAACACAAAATTAAATATAAGTTTTGAAATAATATGTTTTCAATTTTGCTTCAGTTCATCTTTAACATCTTAGTCTTTCAAGGTCATTGAACCATATATCCTTGTTTGATTAATCTCACATAATACTCAAATTTTATAAATCCTGTAGTCACTTCATTTAAAATATTTTTACCTCTATCATTTATTTGTTATTTCACAAGACAAAAGGCCTTATAAACTTAACAATTTTTATGCGCTTATACAATTTTTCTCCAATGCTATTATTTCTCATTTATTTTTTAATTTGTCTCACTTGCTGGACCCATGTAATTTGTAGAAAACCTGCATCAAAATATCTTATCAAAAACATCTTTTTTTAAGCATCTTCACTAATGTTAAAATAAAGTACAATGATAGTTGACCCTTGATTAATCAATCAGTGATTGGATCTTTTTTTCCATTCTAGGAATACTTCTAAAGCTAGTAACTACTCAATCATATTACTAATTGATTATGTTAACATACGTTTGACACATCTTTTCCATAATACATGCCAAATCAATTCTCGTGGTGCTCAATATTAGTAAAAATTATATGAAAATAATTTTGTTTCTTTGATTCTTAGCTATTAATTATATCAACATAAAATTCTTCTCCATGCTTGATCTTACAAGTACAAAATAAAATTGTGCCTCCAACTTTCATGTAAACTTTCTTAGCTATTGTTTCATGGTCCTCTCTCAGAAATTCACTTTATAGCTTATAAGTATAATTCCTTTATAATTAGGGCCATTAAATATTTTTTTGCTCTTAAATGCTAATGCCTATGTGCTTCTTCTCCAATCATTTACGGTCTTCGTAATCTTAAAGGTCTCTATAAGAAATTTGTTTGCAATACTGCAACATCCCTTTTAACTCTCCAATCTGCAATATTACTTTAAAAGTGCAACATGAAGAAAATTCTGCATATTTACGTTTTCTAATTATATTCTAATAATAAGATGTGTTATATGGTAACTCCAAAATTCAAGTTCTGTTATAAAAAAGTGCTGTGCAACTGTTAGTAACCCACCTTATATAATATATTCCTACTTAGATGACTTTAATGTTCGAATTTGACATGATTCTTTGTCATAGCAAGACATTTTGGTTGAGTAGTTTCTTTTTCTTTCAGGTTGAAACTAGCAAGGTGTTTCTGCGAGACACTAGTATTATATCTCCGTACTCTCTTCTTCTTTTTGGTGGATCCATTTCTGTTCAACATCAGGTTTGTCTTTGAAGATTTGATGCTTTATGTCTTCCCTTTGGCTCTTTTCGTAGTTATTAGGTGTATATTCTTATTTCTATTGGCACAAGTATCTTGGGTCCCTCCGCACGGGAAAACTAATTTCTTATGTGGTTCGATTATAAATTAAACGAATGCTTTTTGACTAGAATCTGTTTGTTAAGTTGGATTGGTTTTGCTGAAATTACTTATTTTTATAAATGCATTGATTGTAATAAATTTATGCCTAATGGCATTTATGATGTTCCTGAATATAAGTTACCACCTCTTGAACTACTTTTTCTTGCCTATGTTCTGGATTGTTTCTTCTGTTACTTGTTCTTAAAAATTAAATATCTGGAAATCAAATTGTGTGTAAAATTTGAAATCTTGTAGAAAATTTGTGCAGCATAATTGACTTATGTTAATAATAACATAATTGATCTTATTGAAGAAATTCTAAAAGAATGTAAATGTCTAAAAATTATATTTTGTGTATGATTATATAAAAGTAATTCTATTAATAGAGTTTAATAATTCTTAAATTTAATCTCAGTTGCAGCTTTCAAATCACGGTCAGTTTAGTGTAGATGGTTTTTGTTGTACAGTACAGGTTGGCTGGATATTATTATTAATTCCTGAATCAGTAAAATTAAAGACGTAAATATTGATTAATAATCACTTAATTTATATAAATGTATATATATCAAAATGATCCTACTAGGATTTCATTCAAATTTTTTTAATCATTTTTAAGAGGTGAGAAAATTAATTGTGGCATTAATTTAGTTCTTTTAACTCTTACCTTCGCAAATTTTGAGTAATACAGGAGCAGGCTGGAGGAAGGACATAGTTGACAAGGAAAAAAAAAAGTTTTGTTTGGTTTTTTGTAATTATTTACGATGTGCAACAGTTAGTAATCGCTGAGCATGATTTTCCGCTGAAATGATTTAAAAACTCCAGGACTTGCATGAAGATTTTTTTTTTTTGGGCTTTTGGATGAACCTCATTTGAAAATGCGAATGAGCAGTTTTGGCCGATAATGAAAGCCTAGTATAAATGTTTCTGTTTGATAACCATTTGTTTCATATTTTACCTCTGTATATATCACCATGCAAATGTTGTTGCAGATGGGTTTGGTCATCATAGACAACTGGTTGAAATTAACAGCGCCTGCACAAACTGCTGTTCTATTCAAACAACTCCGCTTAACACTTCATGCTGTTCTAAAAGATCTCATTCGCAAGCCAGAGGTACTTGGTTGTTAATGTTGGATTAATTTTAAGCTAGAATTTATGTATAGTATTTAGCTGTTTGAACTGCGCAATATTACCAAGGACAATTTTGCTTAAATTGTCTGTAGTATCAAGTGAACTTATTGAAGAACAATGTTCTTACAATGTCTCAGTTTTTAGTTGTTATTCGCTGTTCAAAGCTTCAGGTGGAAGTCTTTTAATTTTCTTTTCATTTGCCAATATACTAGTAGTAACCGCAATTTTTTTGTCCCTTTCTTCTTGGTAAACAGTATATCTCATGTTCTCTCAGGTGAAATGTGTTGTTTGTAAGTTTGCGATGGTTTCCTTTTTTGTTTTTTTAACTAAATATTGGTATCCTGACCACTTTAAGTTGCCTCTATTCAGGTATAGAATGACTGCGCAGAAACAAACTATATTTGTTATGTGAACAGTTTCTTTTCACTCTATTGATATAATTTTTGTGTCGACTCAACTCGGGTTTAGTCAAATCGGACCCGATTGGAACTCAATCAACTCAATTGAGCCTCATCGAGCACAAATCGAGTCGAATTGGACCCAAATTGGGTCCAATTAAACTCAATTAAATCAAATTGGATCAAATCAAACCCAATTTCAGCCCAATTGATTAGATCTCAACTTAATTTGACCATCCAAATCACCAATTTAAATCCAACGGCTCTGATTTCCTTGGAATTCCGTCCGTGTGCGCCGCTTCCTACCTGTCATATCTCGTAACTAGCAATCGAGAACAATCTTATCTTTTAGATATACGAAATCGAGACTTCCGCTTCATCCATTCTGGATTCCTGCATGCGTTTATATATATATTGCCCTCCCTGGATCTTTGATATTCAAACATTATTTTCAAACATATTTGAGTCATTTGATTTCTATCATTACCTACTGATATATTTTTTTTTGAAAATCAACGAAGTTCTATTTACTTTGCGCTTTTAGCAATTTTTTGTCTCAAATCTTTTAAATTTTTTGTTCCATTTCTGTAACTTTTCTTTTACTGCAAATTTTGTTTCGCCTAAAAGTAATAATAGCGTACCCTAAAGTGCCTTACCTTTTGTATTTGTTGTATGCACATTCATAACCAATATACAAAGTTATAGAATTAAATGTTCATTCATGATATATTTCCACCATGGTGGGAGACATAGTTTTATCGACATATTTCAGAAATGATTCCCTGATTGATGTTGGGTGTAGATACAGAGATGCCCAAGTTGATAAGCTAAAATTTAGGGACACCATCTGGAAATAATGCAGATCATTGTGCCACCCAATTTGAAAAGTTGTTATTATCTTTACTTTGCTTGCACTTAATTTATACATCTGGCTTTTAATTATCACAATGAATTGCTTTGTAATTGGTATTGCATCGGTATTGATACCACTTTTGGATCGTATCATTCTTCTAGATGCTGACTGTTTCCAAGAATGAAGTGGTGAAGTCCATAATTCATCTATTACTTGAGGAGGGCGCTTCCCAGTTTTCTTGAAATTCAGGTATTGCTTTGTTTTTTAAATTTGGTTTTCTATGAAAAGTTTTTCGTTGACAATATTAACCCATAATTAGTTCATTCGAACAAGTTGTTTTTGCACTAGCAAATTCAGTGTATTAATTTTTCATATATTTTACAATATACTTGTATTTCTAGTTTGAAGATTATGTGAATGGAAATTAAAATTAAATGTCCTCCAAGATTTGTGATCGCAATTGTAATTATAATTCAGCTAGGAGCAACCTAAAAGGTTATCTTATACTTTGGTACTAGGTTTGGGGGGGCAGGAAACAGAAGTCATGTTTAGGTTGTTCTTTTTAGCTGTATTATGATGGCTTTTGCTAAAAAAATTAAATAATTGAATTACCCTCAAGTTATGTAACAAACATCTAAGTACAATTGGCACTCTTTGCATTAATTTCAAATCTCTTGTTTTTACATATGAATTTATAATTTCCAAAATTTTGCAAGTAAAAATAAAAAATATATATATAAAATTTTATAGCTCAATTTTCATATATCATCAAAATGAAGTGGTCGAATCTCCTCCCACTTTCGGTTGAACCAACCTTGCTGCATCCGCCTCTTTTGTGTAAAACAATAAGGAAGAGATGAGAGAGGGTTATATATTTAATAATAATAGTAAATTATTATTATTGTTATTATTATTATTATTATTATTATAAATGATAATAAAAAAATAAAAAGAAAAAAAGAAGGCTCACAATCATCAAGTGGAGGAATCCTGGGGTTGATTCGGTCCCCCGAAGCCCTCGGCCGTCGATCTGATTCGACTGAGTGGATAGAAGACTTGAAGCCAATTCCAGGGTCAATTCGTTCCCTTGAAGTCCTCGCTGTCGATTTGATCCGGCTGAGTCGATCCAAAAAAGCGAGTGCCCTCCCTAACCTCCCCACACGGGGAGGGGATGCCGGGAGGTCGCCGAAATCACCTAGCGAAACTACCAAAAGATGCAGGAAATAAAGGTTTTCCACTATGCAACCTAAGTACAAGCTTGGCTACAGAACCTTAACCTAGCCCCCTCCTAAAATCCTAACCGCCTTGAATTTCCCACAACACCCCCACGCACAACACACCCCACCTACCCTCTTTTTAACTATTCTAACCCTTAATCCTAATCATCTAGATTGTTCGATTTTTCCTCTTGTAAGGAGGACGATTGATCGATTGCCGGCTATTGCCCGGCCTCCAATGTACCTAATCTATTATCTTCCAATGCCAATCAACAATAATGTTCGGAACCCATCAACCACAACGTATGACACTAGTCTTACCGATCATCATCCGATGCTAGCCAATCACTTCAGGGCTCCTACTTCAATCATAGGAGATATCATTAATAGTCCTTGTCTGCTAAATTGTGTCAATACCTCTGTTCATATATAAGGGTGTTGCTCTTGTCGCTCGTTAGTGAAATCATTTTAACTGGGCTAAGTTTCGTTTTTGTTCATCTTCTCTGGTTTTCCAATCAAAAGTTCTCATATATCTCCTATGAGTTACTTCCAATATAAATGTATGCAGAATTTTTATATAATACTAAGGTGATAAATTCCTCCTAAAACAACAAATATTTTTTATGATAATTGCTATTGAATGCAAGCAACCAAAAGGCAGTACTTTTCAGTTCTCTTAACCCATAAAATTTTCTGATACTTCTTTTTTCACTTTCACAAAATAAAAAATCTTAATTTAAAGTGCTGCTTGAAAGGCAAGAAAAGAACTTCTTGATATCATCAATCACCTATAATTTGTGTACATCTTATACTGTATCAAACTTTGCTTCTATTTTCACTTGCGGACCGGTTCCTATAGTTGTTGAGCAAAAACGACGATTGTTTGCGCTGAATTGGTCCTGTTTTTTGGACAATGCATGCTGTGACTTTTCTGCTTCTCTTATATTTCTTCGGAAGTATTTTCATTTACCATACTTAAAATCTGAATTTTTTTAATAATTTATGCTTGACTTCTAATTTCCTCCTGAAGGATAGAAGTCTTCTCAATTTAGGAAAGTTCGCATACATTTAACATATTTCTGTGCCATGTGGAAGAGTCTAGAAGGCCAAATTAAGTTACAATTGTGTAATTAGATATATCTTTTACCAAATATGTTCTTTCATATTTTACATATTTTAATTTTCCTTGTTTTTTACCAATGTTGATTTATTTATGAGGCTACCAGCTGCCTGTTCTCATTGTACAGTTTGTTGATGTTGATTTGCAGGCCTGATGTCAACTCATATCCCTAATGTTCTTATATGAGATTACTGCAACATTCTTTGCGGTTCCAGCTGTGCATTGCTGTTAATAAATAGCTTCCTGGAGCAAAAAAAGAGGTGAGATACCTATAATAAACTCAATCTAATACTTTCAAATATTATTAGTCTGAAGAGAACCCTCCAAGCCAGATTCGATCAACCCTTGATGGCCATTTTGGCTGATGTTTTTTAAGGATATGTATACTAAGACTTCATTTGGGACAGATTTTTAGTACAAAAATTTTTATACTGAAAAGTTGTTTTAGAAAGCAGCAAAAAGCTTTCTCAAATGAAGTCTAAAATGCACAAACAATACAAAGTGGTGAAGATTGCCCTCTTGAGAAAATCAACCTGTAGGCCCTTCTCAGTTATCATGTTGTGCAGTTACTTATTCCAGTCATTAAATTAATTTAGATGGTTTGTTTTGATGTTTGCAAAACCATAGAGATTTGAAACTGTATTAATCCCAGCCATCCAAATTAGAATGGATGGTTGGGATGGACGAACGGACGAGATGTTATAATAAAAAATGGAGAGAGAATTCAACCAGCTTCTTCTGAACAACATCAGTGTTGTATGCACTCCACAAATTAGTAGTTGGAATGTTTTGATTTATTATCAACCTGAAAATGGTTTGTTATCAAAGTAAACTTAAATAAAAATAATAATACTACTGTATCATTTTAAAAATATTTTTATTTTATATTAAAATTTAAATAAAATATAGTAAAAAATATGGAAAAAAATAAATAAAAGGACCCAGTAGCAATAAAAAAGCCGTCCAAAATGAAGCCTACGAGGGTCAATAATGAAAACCTCATGCTCAAAGGAGACTTGAAGAAAATCTAATGATCTGAGGAGATTGCAATGAAACAATTGGCTGTTTGGATTGGAAAAGAAAGAAAGGTTTAGATAAGCCAAACATTTGGTCAAGTTAAGATAGGAAGGAACTTATTTCAAATTTGACCAATTATCATTTCCTAGTGGTTGATTTGGTGTTAAGCTATGAGATCAAACTCAACACATTATAATTATAAACTTCTACCATCTCTATTTAAAATTAAAATTTTAGTTATTTGTTATGCAAAAGAAGACTGATTATTTCTAGGTATTGGATAGAAATACTGAAAGTCCCTATCAACACACTTGTTAATTGCAATAGTATTGATTTTTATGTGTCAAATATAGGACTTAGTCTTTATTAGAAATAATAACATAATATAGCTCATTTGATTGGGTTTTTTTTTTATTTTATTTGTTCTGAATCCAGCAGAAAGTTGTCAATTTGTTGTAGGTCATTTAGATTTTTTATAAAGAAAAAAAAAAAGATTTTAGAATTTGATTTCTAGGGTTTTTTTTAGTGAAAATGAAACCTCTTTATTGTGACTTTGCATTGTATACTTTATAAAATATAACCCCAATCAAATATATTTTGGTTTAAAAAACAAATAAATATCTTAGCTTAGGATTTGTTTGTGATAGTTTTCTTACTGTTTTTTAAAATAATTTTTAGCATAAAAAAATTTTTTGTATTAGAAAATTATTTTAGAAAGTAATAAGAAAGCTGTCACAAATAAAATTTTAATAAATTCAAGGTATGTTTAATACTAATCTTATATTTTATAAAACATAAATTGAATTTTTTCTCATATAACAAGTCCCAAATATTGATGTAAATTTGTGGTGTTGGGGCGAAGCTCTCAATGCAAAAATTAAAAAAAAAAACTCTAACTTGCCATTTGATAAACAATTTATTATTAATATACTCTAAAGACTTTGACCAATTATAGCATAGCATTCTAACTTATATTATTGCTTGATAACCAATTACTTTCCCCAAAAAAAAAAAATATCTATGAACGTAATTTTAATGTTTATCTTATATTTTATAAGTAGAAATTGACTTCTTCTCTTTCTGGAACAAACCCTCACTATTAATGAAAATTATTTTATCTTTGTTGTGAAGCTCTCAATGCAAAAGGATATTATTCTAACTTTGTAACTTGATGAACAATTTCTTATTAATATTCTTGAAGGACTTTGACCAGACTTCCAACTAATGCTATATTATTGCTGCATAAGCAATTAAAAATTAGCTTTCCCACAATAGCAAGGCATGTAAGTTTTTTATTATGTTGTCTATAATGAGAATACATTGCTGTGTAATAAAACAAAAGGTAAAATATTAGTCAAAGATGGAGTTCATGGGAGCTATTTTATAGCATTATTTTGGTTAATTAGATGGAAAATGTGAAACTAAAATTATAAATGGACAAGAATTACCAATAGAGAACTTTTTTTTTTTAATATATGAATGTTAAACATATTTTTGATATACTACAACAACAATAATGACAATAAATCTTTATCCCAATATGTTAGGCTTAGTTTGAGACGGATTTCTTATTGCTTCTTAAAATAATTTTTTAATAGAAAATTTTTCTACCTTGTACTAGAAAGCAGCTTTAAGAAGCAACAAAAAAGCCGTCCCAAAGGAAGCCTAAGAACTGCTACATAAATCCATTTTCTCTATATCTTATTTAAGAGTCAAATTTTCATATAAATCTAATAAAAAATATCACTTTTAGTACTTTTTAATCAAGTAGTTTAGATCTACCTCTATTTTTCTTAATAAAAGTTAAATCTACTAAATCTACTCTTCTAATAGAATCGTCAGAATGTCAGCGTTTTAAACGATCAAATTATCTAGGATGACTCTCTCTAATCTTTTTGCCATAATTTTTATCTAAAAAATTATAAAACAAATAATCCTAATTTTTTTATTATTATCTTATAGTTATTTTCCCAAATAAATAAATTATTGCCCCTGCATGAGTTGAGAACTAATGAAGCATTGATCAATGTAAATAATGTTGATCCTTGGTCAAATATTGTATGCCAAATGTTATGCTTATAAATAATAAAAGTATGATTAATTTGGAAAAAAAAATTATATTGTAAATTAAATATCAGCCTTTAGAATATAATAAAGACCGAGCATTTGCATGGATGAATAAACAAAAATCAATATATCAAATCAACTCTAATTTATTCATTTTTTATATTTATAAATTTTATGGTTTGTAATGTTAGGAATCATAGAGAATAAAAGAAAAATGATCATTCATAAAATTAATATTAAATAATTGTTCAAGTAGATTGATTATCATGAAGATAATGAAAAATTTTACTTAGATTTTATTTGGGATCGTTTTCAGAAATAGTTTTCTCGCACAAAATTATCTTTTTAAAAAAAATAAAAAACTACTCTATAAAATAATATGAAAGCTGCCCAAACGTGATAGCTTTCACAATCATTGCAAGATCAGTAGTAGCAATGATATAGACCACTGCTACAGGGTAAATTTCCAGCAATTGAAAATTTGTAGGAACAAAATACTGTGAAAAATATCATATTTTGATAATATATCAGCATATAGATTGAAATTATAATATGTTTATTATTTCCTTATGATTTTATCATTTTCAAGGTTGATTGGGAAGCTAGACAAGACATCCCTTCCTCCTCCATTCTTGGTCAAATAATACCCAAGCTTTATTCTATTTAATAAATTCCATTGTTGGAATTGAGTCCTTGAAGCACAGTAATGGAGATTAATCAAAATGGAAAGCTGACTATTTAATGATTGCGACTATGACTAGTTATTATCAGATAATGCCAAAGTTTGAGTCATCTGCATATCTGTTGTAGATTTTTCTTTTGTATTTTATATTTTAGCAAAAATGTTTGCAGCATAAAATTAGAATAAATTTGTGAAGGTTACCTTTGCCTTACAATTGCTTTTTTTTTTTTTTTTTTTTAATTTTATGACATGATATGTGCTTAAATCCAACACATTAGAATTCTTAAATCTATTTTCAATCAGTACACTCAAAATTAGAATACACAATTACCTTAATTTTGCAGACACCCTAATTTTTTTCTATGCAGAGTTGTTTTCAAATTAAAAATAAATTTATGATTAAAAATAAGTGCAAAAAATTAGAAGGAATTTGATTATTTTATTGAAAGCCGATAAATATATAAGAGAGGATTTTTCTTTATAATGCAAACAAATTTTAAAAGAATAAAGTTTCTCTTGGAAGTTTAAAATATTAAAAGAAAAAGTGAAAGTTTTCTTTTTACAAATGAATGTATTGTTAGATATGAAGTTAAAAGAGTAAAAAAATTATTTTCTTCATATTGCCACACATAATTAATTAGATATATTCTCTTTCTTTTTTTATTGTATAATTTTCATAGAAAGAATGAAATTTATCTTTCTTCACTACAGGAAATTCAGGTATTACCGGTGGCTATTATCGACTGTCCTATAGCTGGCGGTAATACCGGTGGTTTAGCCGACGGTTTGATCGCCGATATTAACCGGTGGTGTTTAATAAACAGCCGCCAGAATTAGCGGCGGTATAATAACCGCGGAATATGACGCCGGTTTAATTTCATATTGGCGCCTTTACAGGCGGCCAAAGCCGCTTGTTTTAAGTAATTTTTTTTCAGCGGTATAAACAGCCGGAAAACCGCCCTAAATTTACCCATCCTGAGCCTTCCTCCTCACTTCTTCGCATTCTCTCTCGCTGTTGCGGACGCTCGCCTCCTCTCCTCCGGCCTCTCATGATCACGCCTTCGACGACTACTGCGCAGGAATCCAGCGCCGACAACCTCCCTCTGGCAGAAGATCTCGCCCCCAAGCAGAACCCCTCTCCTCTTCGGTCTCCTTGAGTCGCACGGCCCGAATTTCTGCTCCAGCCGTCAGACTCGTCCACCTCCTCTACCCTAGTCGCTGGCTCTCCTCTTTGTTGTGGGTAAATTCCCTAAAAATAGTGATGGCCATGTGTTTGTAGTAATTCCTATTAAGATACATAGATTGTGAGAAATACATTGATTGTGAGAGTGATATCTATGGAATGCATTTGCAAGTTATACATTGATTGTGAGAGTAATATCTATGGCCAAAATATATTTTTTCATGATAATTATATAATGCTAGATCATTTCGAGTTCATTTGAAAAAACTAATGATGGCCATTGATGGTTGGTGCAAGGTAGTGTGACCAAGTAGGAGTTACTACTTGTGTTCAAATGATAATGTGAGAGTAATAGTTTTTCTATGCATTAAAATATGGAATATACAATGCATAGAATTTGTATATCATGTGCAGGTTTAGGGTAAACTTCAGTAAATATAGAGGAGAGGCTGTCAATTTTTTTTAAATGCTACAAGTTTTCGGATGTCAAACAGCGGTTTGGTTGCCGAAAACCTTCATACCGGACGGTTGATTGTGCCAGAAAGCAACTAGCACTACCCAGCGGTTTAGCCGCTGGTAAAACCTACAGTTTTGACTGTTGGTAAGCTGCCCGTAAAGAACCGGTAGTTTACGGTGGTAAATTGGCGGTAACCCGGCGGTTTAGCCGTTGCTAATACCGATAGTAAATCGGTGGTAACCCGGCAGTTTAGCCAGTGCTAATATCGGCAGTTTTGATGGCCGAACGGCCGGCAAGCTGCAGGTGATTAACCGACAATCACCGG